TCGCTTAATTGCTTTATTAGGAACTCATCAACGCGATGTCGAACGACACACGTCGGATTAAAGCGGCCGATCGAGGAGTCGGAGTTTTCGAGTCGAGTTCGAGTCTGCGGTTCTCGCTTTACTACCGCTTCTTGAGCCCGACACTTTGACCCCACCACAGGGGTAATTACACCGGCAGGGGTCGGGTAATTGAGTAACTGCCTCGGCTACAATCTGAGATACCCTACGTTTGTCGCTTTGTACGACGGGGTGAAACGGGTTATTTGAATAATATCTCTCGATGCGGTGGAAAAAAATGTTACGTCCTTGGCTCGGTGTGGAAGAAGGAGGGCTCTATGAATGACGTTAATGATTATTCGTTTGAGTGATTATTCGTGATAAGCGTTTTTAATATATTCGCAAAATGTGTTTATGGAAGAAGAAAGTCGATATGGTTTTTAATAAGAAATTTTGAGTTTCTTTTTTCGAGGAATTTTTCATTATAGATTTTTCCATATGACTTTGAAGGTAAGTCAAAGTTTCATTTAAAAAGTCGTTTCATTTAAAAAAATTCATGGTAATCTCCTCCTCGTATTTACGTAAAACGTCATATCGCATCCTCCTTGAAATTAAAAAATAAATAATTTAGTTCTCTGAACTGCTTTCTATACACACCTTATATATGCGATATATCTATCTCTCTCCAACTATTAATTATATTATGTACGATCATTATATACGATTTCTAAGACTTTTTTTTTGCTCTCACGTGATTTTGAGAGAGAGAATGAATGGTGGAAAATCGCAAGGAATTTTACTTGGAGGAAATCTCTCTCATCGAGTGCGTCGCTCGGCTACCGTGTAAAAACTTGGAAGCCGGCCATCGGAGATGATAAAAAGTTTTCGTGGCCGGGACCAGTTCGAGGTGGCCTCGTGATTGGTGCGTCTGCCAGTTTTTACGCTCCCCGAACAATTTCGTTCCGTCGAGGATCGGGCGAGGGGAATTCGCGGCACGTAGAGGACGCTTAGGAAAAACATTAAAAATCGCCGTCGGCGATATCCGCTTTTTTTTTCTTTCTCTTCTTTTTTTAATCGCGCGTATTTGGCACGGGGCCAGCCACAAGCCAACCTTTAATTAAAGATTTCGAAACGGGCATCGGTCGAATCGTCACGAATGTACCAGCTATTTTCTGGACCCGATCTGATGTTCCAACTAATTATAGCAACCCTTGGTCGCGCCCTTTAACTTTGCAACTTGTAACACCCTTTGCGCGCGGAGAGATAATTTCTCTCTCTCTCTCTCTTTTTTCCTTTCTTTTTTCACGGAAACAAATAAACCGTGGAATTCTTTCGAATTCGATAGAATTCGGGAATCGAATAGGAGAAGCACGTTCTGCGAATTCAATAAAAAAGAATAAAAAAAAGAACGTGCACGCAGTGAAATGCGTGCAGAGTCGACGCGTTTTCAGCCTGAACAATAACGCGATATCCGGCCAAGCTATTTGATTAAAACGGATCATTGGAGCCGATATATCGCGAATTCAATTGGAACTCGTTTCGCTCCCTTTTGCGATCTCGCCTGCCCGAACGCTCGTCCAATTACGAGTTAGAAAGAAACCGAGCCACCCCCTCCCCTGATTTCTCTCCTATCGGTTATCCTCCAGGAAATAGACCCTTCCCAACGCGTGGCCAAAATACGTCCCTCCAATTTCCGGCTCGCGCTACTAGAAGCCTAGAAAATCGGCTCGATCCCCGTCGAAATTGGGAGAAAGTCTCTTCTAACGCGTCCACCCCCCTCCATCCATCGCTGCTTGATTCCATTTCACTTTCACGGCGACGAAAATTCCTCCTCCAAGTTCCAATTCGACATCGTTAACCATCGTTTTTAATCTCGGATCCTCTATCTATCGCTTTTCGAGTTTAGGCCGCATTGCGTTTCTCCACGGCTTGTTTCGCGGTCGCTCGATCGCGGG